TGAGCGTCTGGCAGTCCTCTGTTCCCCGCTTGCGTTTTTTCACACGGCCGTGCTTTCCGCGTGGACCATTTCGTTGATTTTTGGCGCAGGCCAATGGTCTCCTGCGCCCGTCGGTTCCCCCGAACGCGGTAGCATTGGACGTGTGTTTTGTAGTGAACGTTTCCATCATGTTGATGCGGCATTTGAGTACTCCAGCCGGCCTGTCGCGTGGGCCTGTCGTCGGAGGGTCTGCTCTCAGTTACGGTCAGCGTTTGATGGCTTCGCGCATCCAGGGGACACCACTTGGAGGTGGCAGACCGCTCGTCCCCCGAACGAGGTACAGCAGTTATGCCAGAAAAGGTGCATCTTAAGTTGAAGTAAAGATAAATGTACTGGCCAGTTAAAGAAACTAGGATAGGCTACTTAAATTCAAGCACTTTAAACAATTGTGAGCCACCCAGAGTCGTTTGCGGTCATAGAAATCAATCAATCAAACAAACGTGACAGTTTATAGAGTCAGCATATTTACCTCAACAATCTTGAGTCCTCATTTTACCAATCTCGGAAGGATGGAAGGCTGAATCAACCTTGAGCCTTGTCAGGATCAAACTCCTGGCATTGGGCAGAGTCAGACTTCAATACTGCATTTTATCCACTGCTCCTAGCCAGGGGTGGGATTCAAATTTTTTAACAACCGGTTCTGTGGGGCGTGGCTAAGTTGGTGGGCGTGGCTTGGTGGTCATATTATTGGCTGGGCATGGCCAACTCAATATCACTCACATCGAGGCACGCATCTCCTCGCCTGGCCTCTTATGGCTGTGGGGATGCTGCAACAGTCATAAGTGTGAAAAATGTTCATAAGTCATTTTTTTCAGTTCCATTTTAACTTTGAATGGTCACTCCACACAAGCAGAGTACCAGCAAAGGAGGGGAAAAAACTCCAGGGAGGTTCCTAAGACAGGAAGTCTTGTCCTGCCAAGAATGTAATAAGGGTTAATCGAGAGGCAGTTTCTGTAAGCAACACCAGAATGTTTCCTTCCTGCCTCCCTTATGGGATTAGCCCAGTAATTTCTTCTAACAACCGGTTCTCTGAACTGCTTAGAATGTTAACAACCGGTTCTAGCGAATAGGTGTGAACTGGTAGAATCCTACCCCTGCTCCTAGCTCTTACTAGGTCCTGCTGTTAAAAGCACTTGTAACATTTCTTTTTTCTTGGTCTATCCACTGACACAAAACAATTGCCGAATGACTGGATTTTTTTTTTTTTTTTGTGATAGTGAATGCTTTTATCGCTTTCACGTAATGAACCTTTTGCCAAGTATTTCATCTTACCACACAGATGCGAGAGTCCAGGTCAGCAGAGACAGAGAGGGAGCAAAAGATGTAGTTATTGGGCTCGTAGCAAAAGTCCACTTCATCAAGTTGTAAGATGGGAGGAGAAAACTTCTCAAAGCCATCTGGGAACCTATTCGGGGGGTGGGGGAGGAGAAAAAAATATCCAGGGGAATGAGCAAAAAATGGAAGTAGCCAAAAGGGCCCTCATTGCTTCTATTAGAGTAGGACAATCAGCGTGGTGTTAATTTCCTACCACACTATGGTAGGTATACATAGCAGTTACATTTACAGAATGTTGTTTTTAATGTAATAATAAGTATGCATTGCAGACATCATTTAGAGATATGGTCTAGAGCTGGGGTCTCCAACCATGGCAGCTTTTGCTGGCTGAGGATCTCTGAGAATTGAAGTTCACAAGTCTTAAACTTGCCAAGGTTGGAGACCCCTGCTCTAGTCTAGAGTGTTTAATACTGCTATTTTGTTGTGGCTACGAAGTCCTGCAGCTATACAATGCCTTGTTTGGAAAAGCAGACACTGGTGCCTGAAGAAAAGCTAGGAGAATGACTTGCTAACTTGATTCAAGTCACAAATCCCTTCCTTACCAAACCCACACAGGACAGGCCAATGTTATCATTTCTGTCTTGCCAATTAGGTGCCAAGATTTGCCCTGAGGCAGTGTTTCTCAACCTCTTATCGTTTGAAGAGGCATGGACTTCAGCTCCCAGAATTCCCCAGCCAAATGTCGATCACATGACTGCAATGGCCAGACTTTTCAGAGCCGGTTGTTAAGTATCACTCATTCGGCGCTGTTGCAACTGTCATTGAAGGAGTGGTTGCTAAAGGAGGATTTATCTGTATGGAGTCTGAGAAGGCAGACAGGTGAGTGAGACGACGTCTGTCCTTCTTTTCCTATGAAGGGCTAGAAAATTGGACTTTCTTGTACCGATCAAAATTCACTTACTTCATGATCACTTCAGATTCTTTGTCCACTGGCTTCAGTTTTGGCCTGAGAGAAAGAGACCAATCAATCTTGTTGCAATAAGAGAGAGGTATCAAATATCCAATCACTAAGCAGGCACCTGAAAGCAGATATATTCTCCAGACCGAGCCCTTAAGAACTACTATAACCAGATTCACTGGATCATGGTTTTCTTTAAAAAAAAAAAGAAAGCTTATTTTCCTTTCCAAGTTTTTCCCCTAATTCTGTTTTGTAAATGTAAAAGATTTCAAAGACAGAAAAGAGTTCACCAATTTCCCTTGGTTTAGTATGAAAATCACTTAACAATATCATCTGAACTGTTCTTAACTATTCTTTTATGGGAGATTAGAATTTTCTTTAAAAAAATAAAAACCAAACCCCCTAAATGTGGGGACAAGACAAGGAGAGATAAGAGAAATTATTGGGCTAAAACCAGCCCATTTATAGTTTTTTTGACTTAGAAAAATTCCTAACTTTTTTGTTTAATATTTTGCATTCTTTTGACAGTGGCCGGTGGAACTTAAAATCAGGATCTCCTCAAACTGAACCAAGCAGTTAATGCTTTCCTAGTTCTACCAACATCCTGTTAATATATTTGTCAGTTACAGTAAGGTTTAAAGCAGGAATCTTCAAACTTGGCTAAACTTTTAAGACTTGTGGACTTCAATTCCCAGAATTCTCCAGCCAGCATGGCTATCTGAGGAATTCTGGGAGTTGAAGTCCACAGGCCTTAAAGTTTAGCCAAGTTTGGAGAGCCCTGCTTTAAAGAGACAAACCTTTGTATTAATACTATCGAGAACAGATTGTTTACTGTGCTGATGATAACGCAATGATTGCGAGATAACTGGGGGCTGAAGTGTGTCAAGGAGCAATCTTCCCCTAACCAAGAAATACAGTACATCCAAATAATGACCGCTAATTAGTACAACATATAACTTCCGTTTATACGTTTTGAGACTAATGCTGCATGCCAGGAGCAGTGCACGCACCTCCATTGTAGAAATTGTTCTACACCAGCTCTTGTAGATCCTGCAATGATCAATCCTCAAAAACACCTAGACAACCCACCCGAATGTTTCTTTTCTTTTGGATACTCACAGCTTCTCCAACAGTTTGAGTTTGCTCTGAACTTGCGACGCCCTGTTTGCGTTATAGCGAAATCGATCAATAAAGACCTGCGGGAGCAAAGCAGAGGTGTCTCACTTATGCAAGAGGACGTACCAGCTGCTGCAGGGACACAGCCTGGCAAATGAAGTTTGAGCCCATGATCCAAACTGGTTTATTTATGTTGCGTGTGCCGCAGTTCAGTTCAAACCTTTATTGTCAACGCACGACATGTGTACAATGAAATTGAATGAGCCTCCCTTGGTGCAGCCCACCCAAGAACATGAAATACTTCTCAATAAATCAACATCCCTAACCCCAGATATAACAGAGGTTTGGAACAGAAGCGTTTTTAAAACTGGACACCCTGAAGTCAACAGAACACAATAAGAAATGAATCAGATATTCTGTCCCTCTCTGGTAGCCAAACAAAGCATTAGGATGATATGCAGTAGAGGCTGAAGAAGGTATATTCTGTCTGCATGCGGGTATCATATTCAAAAACATTATTTAGAACGTTCTTATTGCTGGGCACACGAACAATTCTAAGCTTTTGCTCTGTTCTAATGAAGACATACGAATAAAGCTGAAACAGAATGAAAAAAAGAATTACAAAATTACTCTTCGCCATCTTCAGTACTTAATTTGTGATAAGAGAGTTAGCTTGATCTGGTGGTTAAGGGAACACGCTGGAAAGCAAGGGACCGTGAGTTCAAATCCTGCCTTAGCCATGAAAGTCAGCTGAGTGACTCTGAGGCAGTCACTCTCTCTCAGTCCTTCACCTCACAGGGTTGTTGTTGTGGGGAAAATACTAAGGTGGGTTGGATATGTTGGCCACCTAGAATTATTTGTAAAAATGATGAAGGAGGGATACAAAGGAATAAGATTTCAATGTTTGTAAAATGCCCAGAGTAGTCTCTGGACAAAATGGCGGCACATACATTTACTTTATTTTTCAGAGTATAAGATGCATCTTAGTTTTGAGGGAGGAAAATAAGGGGTGTGTGTGGAATTCTGCCTCTGCCTACCAGCATCCATTGGTATTCATCTGGCTAGCATCCTGTCAGTGTGTGAGAGTTGAAGGTTGTTTGGAAACTGAAACAGTATTTGCTGTGTGAGCAAGAAAGAGACAGCACGGAGCCTGGTTGTGGCTTAGCTCAACTGTTCTGTACTAAAGTTGCATGCTGTGCTGAAACTAAAACTTAAACTCCCCTTCTCTGCATGTGTTTTGCTTGTATTACCATGTATCACCATCTAATTGTATTACCATGTAATTGTACCATTGTACTACCATGTTGGAAAACCTGCTTTTGGTATTGTATATTTGCTTCATGTGTTATATATAAAGGGAAGTTATTGAATCCTGGTGAATCAGTTACTTGAGTGTGCTTTCTGGATGTGATTGCTGCTGCAAACTCTGGACACGTCCTTGCAGCAAATAGCAAACAGCCAGGTCAGTTACAGCACATTATTGCAGCCTGATGCAGCAGGAGCAGCAGACTGGCGAGTGGATCGGCCTCCCGGAATACCCCCAATCCGCTGTTCCAGGCTGCAGGGATTGCCACAGACCATCGCTGCCTCTGTGCCTTGCATTTTTGGCCTCGCGGGCAGGGCTACATTCGGTGTATAAGACGGACCCAAATTTTCACCCTCTTTTAGCGGGGGACAAAGTGTATCTTATACTCCGAAAAATATAGCAATTAATTTAATTCAGCTGGCTCTCGTGGTTACATAGACCAGGGATCGCCAACCTTTTGGACCTCAGGAACCACCAAACTCATAATTTTAAATCCCGCGGACCACTAATATGAATTGTGACTGACGGTGGCTTGCTGACGTTGGTGGGAAAGTCGGCCCCATATTCCAGAGGTGCAGTAGTCACAAGACTGCCCCCTCTGGTCATCTCGGAGCTCTCTCTCTCTCTCTCTCTCTCACACACACACACACACACACACACACACACACACACACACGTCCCTCCTACCCTCCAAGGTAGCCATTCCTTCACTAACTTGCTTTTCAGCTCTGTTCTCAGCGGGGGAGAGAGAGAGAGGGTATCCCGCGATCCCAAATAAAGAAAGATCGATCTGTAGGAAAACGGGATGGGGGAATTTTCCTGCAGACTTTTTTGGGGATTTTCGCAGGGTCTCTGCCGCTTCTGCTTTTGGCTGTGTGCAAAGAAAACAGCAGAAGTCTTTCTTTCTCTCCCCCAAACTCCACCAGAAAGGAGTCTTTGCCGGCGCAGCCCCTTGGAGCAGGAGGCCTTGCAGGGTCTCAAAGACTCATTTCTGGCGGAGTTTGGGGGAGAGAAAGAAAGACTTTTGCTGCTTTCCTTGCATGCAGCCAAAAGAAGAAGAAAGAAGTGGAAAGAAGCAGCCCAGTGGCCAGGCGAAGCGCGTGGGGTGAGTGGGGCAAGTTTCCCCTCTCCGTCCTTTCCCTTCCCCTCACTACTTAGTGTTGTTCGCAATGCAAGCAACGCAAGCCTTGTTTTTCCATAGGCCACGTGGGTGGCACAGCCTTGTGTTCCCATGCAGCCTGGATTAATTCCTTTGGGGGGGTTGCTTTGGGGGTGACATTTCTCTGCGGACCACCAAAATTTTCTCTCGGACAACCAGTGGTCCCCGGCAACCACTGGTTGGCAATCACTGACATGGACTACAGAGCACAGGCGTCAAATTTGCCACATCACTTTGATGTCACGTGATATATCGCAATGGTTTTTTTTCCCTTTGTCTTCATGGATCTGGGGTGGGCGTGGCCTGTGCTTGAGGCATCCGGCTCGTGGGCCAACCAGTTTGACACCTCTGACATAGAGAGAAGCACTTGAGAAGCGGCAGTCCCACTTCTGTGTGGTGCCCAGGATAAAAAGTCTTATTTTTTGAGGATCTGTTCTTTGCTTATATCGAATCATATCGTATCTAACAGCATACTGTATCCCCTCTCATGTGCAATATATCACATCATAGATATCCTATCGTATTTCATAACGGCACTGTTGGATCAGCGTCCGCTGCATCGCTTATAACCACTCTGCCCTCTGACCTGGATATGCTCCCGGTATTGCTGCTGTGCCTCATATTCACGCTGTTGGTTTTTCAGCCGTTCTTCTTTGATCTTGACAAAGTTCTCGAAGTCCCCACGGTAGCTGTCCAGCCGCTGGGAGTGCAGGTGGATGACATCGGTGGCCACGGCATTTAAGAAGTTCCGGTCGTGAGACACCACAAGGATGGTGGATTGCCAAGTCTAGAAAGGCCCAGATGGGGGGGAAAAAAGGGGGCAAGATTGAGGTCTCAGCCAGATCTGAAGGTCCCAAGCTCCTTAAACCAGAGGTCTCCAACCTTGGCAACTTGTGGACTTCAACTCCCAGAATTCCTCAGTGTCAGGGCTCTGGCAGTTACCCCCATTTAAATCATGAGTCTCTAGCCGAACTTCCAAAACTTAAAGAAGATTTATTAAGAGTAAGTAACATGCCGGTGCTGCCTATATGTAGCCGACTCTGAGACACATTGTCGCCCTTGATCCTGGTTTTCCCGCACCCAATGGGTGTATCGTAATTCATATTCTCCAATGGGACACATCCGTAGCCAAGAGTCATCAATCATGCTCTCCTGATAGAATTTTGCACTGGCAGAAACTTCGGTCGCCTGGAAACTATCTTCGAAAACATTTATGGAATGCAAGTTGCCCACCGTTTCCCCCTCCCTTTCTGTTGGCAACTCTAAAAAGACCATAGATATATTTTATGAGTTGACACTCAGCCAGCAACTGGCTGAGGAATTCTGGGAGTTGAAGTCCACAAGTCTTAAAAGTGGCCAAGGTTGCCATAAATTATCCCTTGCCTCCCTCAACCGTGGATGGCTTTCCAAATTTTGGACAGACCTGCAAATAGTTTTCCAGCCAGATGATCGCCTTCACGTCCAGCATGTTGGTTGGCTCTGGAAGTGAATTCGAAAGAAGGGCTGTTAACACAAAGCCCCTCTGGACAAAATTCACAGGGAAGGACATACATAGGCAGTCCTCAATTTATGACTACATGGGAGCCCAAAATTTCGATTGCTAAGCGAGACCGTTGTGAAGTGAGTTTTGCCCCATTTTACAACCTTTTCTTACCAGAGTTGTTAAGTTGAAGCACGGTTCTTAAGGGAACTTGGCTTCCCTAGTGGCCTTGCTTGTCAGAAGATTTTAAAAGAGGAACATGTCACCACGGGACACTGCAAGCCTCGTAAATATGTGTCAGTTGTCAAGTGACTGAATCTTGGTCACGTGACTGTGGTTGTGAAGTATGAAAAACGGTTCACCGGTCACTTTTTCAGTGCCTCTGTAACTTCGAACGGTCACTGAATGAATGGTTAAGTATTTGTGATGCAATGGCCACATTTTGAATTAAATAGCTCGAAGAAACAATGCTTCAACAGTTCTAATTCGCCCAGAATACGATTCAAACCAAAGGAAGAAAATGAGTTAATGTAAGACAGAGATGGCCACAGCTCCTTTGTAACATTTGCAAAATAGTTAAAAAGTGGGGAGAGCCAACATTTTTTGGGGGGTGGGTGGGTGGGACATTGACGAGGTTCTCCTTGATGAAATGGGTGCCTAAACTCTTGCAAAGGACTTAGGGATCCGTTTTCCCTCTTTAACCTTTCTTTCAAATTAAGCTGATTTGGGGATGGCGGGTTACATTGTTACATGGTGCCTGAGAAAGGCGTAAATGAAAAGAAGGACTAGGGGTGACATGATAGCAGGATTCCAGTATTTGAGGGGCTGCCACAAAGAAGGCGGGGGGGTCAAATTATTCTCTAAAGCAGCAGAAGGCAGGACAAGAAACAATGGATAGAAACTAATCAAGGAGAGAAGCAACCTGGAATTCGGGAGAAACTTCCTAACAGGGAGGACAATTAACCGGTGGAACAGAAGTTGCCTTCAGAAGATGTCGGCGCTTCATCACTGGAGGTTTTTAAGAAGAGACTGGATAGCCACCTGTGTGAAATGATATATGACTGGGATGGCGAACCAATGGCACGTGTGCCACAAGTGGCATGGAGAGCCATTTGTGCTGGCACGCGAGCCGCAGGCAAACTTACTTCACTGCGTATGCCCATGCGTCACAGCTGATTTTTTTTCGGCTGGTTTGAGGCCTTTTTTTGGCCTCCCAGAGGCTTGGAAAAAGCCTCTGCAAGGCTTTTCAGGCCGAATGATAGGCCCATCTCGTCACTTCCTGTAATACCGGAAGTGACGAAACGGGCCTATACCTCGCCCTGAAAAGCCTCGGAGAGGCTTTTTCCAAGCCTCTGGGAGGCCGAAAAAGGCCTCAAACCAGCTGAAAATCAGCTGTGTGGCGCAGTGCAGGTAAGGGGGTGGCGGCGGGAATTGTGTGCACATCTCCAGGGGGCATGGGCGAGCATTGCATTCTGGGTGCTGGCATGTAAGTGCGCATGCGCTGGTGCGTGCGCAATTTTTAGCACAGGAGCCCCAAAAGATTAGCCACTACTGGAATGGTTCTCCTGCTTGGATAGGGGGTTGGACTAGAAACCGTCCCTTCCAGCTCTATTCTGATTAATCAATTCAATTTTTCAAAGTTACCCCTTACAATAGAGCAGGGATTCCCAACCTGGGGTGCTCGCACCCCCTGGGGGTGCAAGATGATATTTCAGGGGGTGCGAGAAAAGTCCAGGTTAAAAATAGGATATTGGCTATATGTTGGCATTTTTATTTATTATGCAATGGATTAACTTTGTTTTCATTTTAGAGTTAAGTATCGTTATTTAGTGGCCGTCACATGCATAGCTGAAAAGATTCAATCCTACCATATATTTAACGCGTTCAGTAGTTCCTAAAGTCTAAATTTCAGGAGGTGCGAGGTTCGAGTAACATTTCTTTAGGAGTGCGGGGCAAAAAAAAGCTTGGGAACCACTGCCATAGAGGCTTAAAACTTTTGGCCAACGTGTGATAGAGATGCCATATATCTCTGACAACTTCCAACTGCAAGGAAATTGGCCACAAAATTCTGGTGGGTCATGTTCATACATATGCCCAGAACGGTTGTAGCAATGGTTCCCAATCTAGGGAGCTTCCAAATGTTGGAAGTGTGTGGACTTCACTTCCCAGAATTGGGAAGTGTGGAAACACTGGGCCAGAAAAACTGGAAGATCATCAATCCACCACGGTATGGGGAAAAGATTACATCAGTATTCCCTGGAGAATTCTTTGAGGTGGGTTTGCACCACCCCTTCCCTTCTGTCTACGTATGTCCAGAAAAGACTTACCATCAAGCAGAAGAAGGTCAGGCCTGGGAAAATTAAAATCAACAGAAGAGGAAAGGGAGACAGAAGTGTTATTAGTTCAGCAATCATAAATTCTCCTTTCCTTTCTTTTCACAGTAGATTTCTCACAAAGCTTTCTATGCAGTAACTATGCCCTCTTCATATTTTCATCATCACTGAAAGCTAATCGTAACGAATCCATTCAAGTCCAGTTATTTTTGATGGGGAAATTCTTCAAATTGCTTTAAACCGGCAATTTTTTATATAAGCCTGCACTTTTATTACCATCGTGCAAAACTTGGCAAAAGGCTTCACTGCTCTAATGTTTAATTATTAAATGTATACGCTGCCGATCAACCTCACCTAGCCCCAAATTCTGTAGGTGAACATCTAAAATTTGGAGAAAAAAAGGGACCTTGCCCAACTTTTAAATTGTGAAAATTCATTACACAGGCATTTGAAAAAGCTGAATGTATTATTCAGTGAAAACGGGGTGATTTGGAAAAGTAAGTAAGAGAGATTAGATTAGTTTCATGCTGATGGATTAGACCAGGGGTCCCCAAACTTGGCAACTTTAAGACTTGTGGACTTCAATTCCCAGAATTCTCCAGACAGCACAGCTTAAACTCTCTTGTAATCCCTTCCTCTGCAGTCTCTCCTCTTTGGGGGAATAAAAGAAAAAGAAACAGACACAGTTGGCTGAGGAATTCTGGGAGTTGAAGTTCACAAGTCTTAAAGTCACCAAGTTTGCAGACCTCTGGATTAGACTGAAAGATTTTCTCACTGTCTTGGAAGGCCTCTGTCCTTTTCAAAAAAAAAAAAAGTTTCCAATTTTGCAAGAGAACCGGTGCCATGATTTAAATGTCTATAGAAATTCTCAGTCATCCAGTTCTCCATGAAGCCTCTCGGCTGAGAAGCAAAATGTCTTCAATGCGAAACTAGAAAGTCCAGTTCCCTCTTAAAAAAGCACTTTTAGGACTCCGTTGTTCAAGCATTCTTTTTTTTTTTTGTCCTTTAAATTCTAGAAAAACTTAAGCATCCCCAACGCATACATATCTTTTGGGCACAAAAACACATACAGGTTAGCCATCGATTCACAACTATTTATTTCGAGACCGTTCAAAGTTACAGTGGCACTGAAAAAAGTGACATATGACAGTTTTCAACACTTAGGACCTTTGCTCAGTGGTGGGATTCTACCAGTTTCCCTACCGGTTTGGTGATCACGCACTTCAAACACGCGCGCCAATCAGCTGAGAAGAGAAAAGAAGAGAAAAGTGCATGGACGAATGGGAGGGCCGACCCTACGCTTTTCTCTTCTTTCTCTTCTCAACTGATTGTTGGAGCTTTTTCTTTCTTTCTACTGGTTAGGCCAGGGGTCGGCAACCTTAAACCCTCAAAATGCCACAAAGGACGTAACTGGAAAGTCCCCTGTTCAATTCTGGAACTGACTGGAAGTCCAATTCCCCCACCATAGAGTCTCTTCCTAGCACAGCGTCTTTTTTCTTCTGCCGACCGGATGTCCGGTTCCCCCACCATAGAGTCTCCTCCAAGCGCAGCATCCTTTTTCCTCTACCTGTCCTAACCGAAAGCCCCTATCCATCGTGGAGTTGAAGGGAAAAGCTGCCCCTTGCCATAGTCTCTCCTCATGGTGCACCGTGTTTCCCCTTCCTCTCAAAAGTGTGGCGCCGACCGGCGATAGGGAGCTGCAACAGAGGGATGAAAGAGCCCCATGCGGCTCTAGAGCTGTGGGTTGCTGACCCCTGGTGACAGGGCTCCAACATATCCACCCCCATTCAAATCATAAGTCTCTAGCCGCATCTCTCAGAGAAAAGAAAATTGATTTATTAGAAGTGACCATGTTGGTGTTAGCTGGATGCAGCCGACACTAAAATACATCATTCATTTCCTCCTTGACCCTGGTCTTCCCCCCACCCTCTGAATGTATATTCTCCAATGGGACCCATCCATAGCCAAGAGTCATCAATCATGCTCTCCAATAATATTCTTGCGCTCTGACAACTTTGGGCTGCCAGGGTGATAATTTAGGCACTCGAGGAATGCACTGTTTTCCCTCGCTCCCTTTCTGCTGGCAGCTAAAAAGACCAAAGGTGTATCTTTTTAGTTGACACTTGGATTAGGCTGAACCAATAGCAATTTTATCTACTGGTTCAACTGAAGTGGACTGAACCGGTAGCATTTCACCACTGCCTTTACGGTATCCCTACGGTCATGTGCTCAAAATCCAGGGACTTGGCAACTTTGAACGGTCACTAAACCAATGGTTGTAAGGCAAGGACTCCCTATAGTCCAAACACTAGTGATCTCATCTCCACACCCATCCCAATGCAGTCGGGCATCCTTCCTCAACACAGCTCATCAGGATTAAGACTTCCAAGCGAGGTTTTCACTCCACCATTGTTACTATCAACCCATTTTTCCGGATAAGGATTTTGAGTACGACGGAAATCCTTAAAAAGACTCACCGGGCAAAAAGAGCGCGAGCCAAAGCCAGCCTCATTCTCCAGCCTCCAGAAAACTCTCTGAGGAAAAGGAATAAAGGAGCGAGAGATCAGTTTCCCTGGGCCAGCCGGACCCCAGTTTGCCTGTAGATACAGAAGGTCGCCTTACATTTTTCAAGGGTTGGTGTCAGAGATGGCCAAGTTCACTTCCCCCTCTATCACAATTGTAATGTGAAGGGACAGCTACCAAGCTTCCTATCTCTGGAAGCGCCCCTCTTTCCCAGCACCTAGCAGTAGGCAAGATCAAAAAGAAAAAAAAAATATCTAGGATCCCATCGTTCAAATCACAGAAGGGAACAATTCAGTCTTGGCTAAAGCCCACTTACTTGGTTGTCTGTTGCTGCATCTTTGCGCTGAAGCCCAACCCGGCCAGGATGACAGACGCTCTGAAGGAGGAAGAGCAAAGGGAAGGAAATGTAATTTCTAGATTCCAGAATCTAGACTAGAAGCTGACTCTGGATGGGTCTAAAAGAAACTCTGAAAAGTTTTAGGAAAGACAGCAATATCTGAACTTGAAATAAGGATCGACTGGAAGTAGGAGTATATTTAGCTAAAGGCGCTAACCACAAAAAGGTGGCATGGTGGCTGCTCAGTGGTCATGATGCTGTGTGTAATCAGCTGGAAAGCATGGCAGCCCAGGTTTGAGATCCGAGCATCACACAACTGGGTGAGCTCCCATTCCTTGCTCCAGCTCCTGCCAATCTAGCAGTTGCAAACGCGAGTAGATAAACAGGTACCACTTCAGTGGGAAGATATCAGTGCTCTGAGACATCATGCTGGCCACATGACTGTGGAAATGCCTTTGGACAGCGCTGGCTCAATGGCCTTGAAATGGAGATGAGCACCACCACCTTAGTTGGCAAGGAATAGCAGAGTAAAATCTGCATGGACTCCTTTACCCTTTTTTTGGGCTGGCCACGAATGCTTCCTTTATCAAAACACTTCAAATGACTGTGGAACATCTATCAAAGAGCAGGAAGAGCGGCTCAAACATGACACCTCAAAGCTCCAATAGTGGACGGCTTTGTCGTTCCTCGCTAAAGACTTCTGCTTCTGGGGTTTCCATCGATGGAAAAGCTAAAGTAAACTAATGGGTTTGTATGTTTATAGAAGGTTGCCCTTCTGCAAACATTCTTTAAATCAGATTTCAGGAAGATCTAAAGTCTGTTCTCCCAATTTAACATGAAAGCAGTGTTAACTGCTTTCATCTTAAATTGGGAGAACAGACTTTAGATCTAGTGACCACTGGGAGCAACAATGGCACTGAAATAAGTGATTCATTAAGTTTTCACATTTAATGACCACTACAGCATTGCCATGTCACGTGATCAAAATTCAGGTGCTCGGCAACTGGCAGGTATTTATGACAGCTGAGCTGTCCTGAGGTCATTTTATCACCATTTGCAGCCTCCCCAACCAGCATCCAGTAAGCAAAATCAATTGTTGGGGGTGGGAAGCAAAATTCACTGAACAACTCCAATATTCACTTAACCATGGCACTGAGTTATTTAACCACTGTGCCAAAAAGGTCATAAAATGAGGTGCAACTCACTTCACAAGTGTCTCGCTTAGTAACACAAATGTTGGGCTCAACTTGTGTTGTGGTTAGCCGGCAGCAGGTGCGGACGGCTAAAGAGAGCGAGGACTCAGATGAGGGGCCAGGACCATTGGGGAGTGGCCTTCAGAGATTGTGGGGGCTGGCAGCAGCGATGAGGAGGTTCCCGAGGAGCCTGAGCCAAGTACGCGCGCGCGCAGGGCTGCTCACAGGAAAGAGCAGCTGCAGCAGCACGGGCGACTCGGGAGTAAGGCCCCTCCTTCAAGAAGATAAAAGCCTGCTGTGAATCGGACGTTCTTTGCAGGAAGCAAAGACGTTTTGAAACTCGAGTCTCGTGGACATTGCAGTATCTTAAGTTGGTAATTGAAGACTCTTGTGTTGTAAAATATCTCTAGGTAACCTTATCTGTTATTCTTGCAGTTTTGGCGAGACTTGTGCTTATCAAAGTTAATTAGTTTGCAGCAGCCTTTTAACCGGGGATTCGTAAGAATCATTAAAAGGTTTCTGTTCCCCTTGGTTCGTGTTTATTTTATTGCAAAAAGGTTTTGGGTCAGAACAACTTGTCACTGTAAGTCAAGGATTATCTGCACTCTTTCATTTGGAGAACTGGAGAAGCATCCAATTTCCATTTGGAATTTAAGAAATTTGAGTTCTTGGTGCAAATTTATTACCCCAGCTGATGGAGAACTTGTCTCTTCCCATCCACATGTTATCTCCATAGACTCGTATACATCAAGATTTGCTATTTTAGGCCTGGATCTTGCGCAAGTTCAGCTATTTTAACAGAACTCACCGACTACCAAGCAGATAAATCCAGAGCTGTATCTGCTCCCACAGAGTGTTTCTGCTTACCTCGCTGGGGCCTTGTCTGCCTCAATCTCTTCTAGCCTGGCGTAGATTTCAGACAGCCGAGCACCTTCTGTGCCTATTCCCCTGGAAAAAAAAAATGACAGAAAAGGAGCGCGGTAGTTTGTAGATTAGCTCTGTACTGCACTTGAATTTGATAAGTGTTCCTTGGGAACAAAGTTACCATCCAGAATTAATAGCAATAGCACTTAAGACTTACGTACCACTTCACAGTGCTTTATAGCCCTCTCTCAGTGGTTTAACAGTCAGCATGTTGCCCTCAACAATCTGGGTCCTTATTTTACCCACCTCAGAAGGACAGAAGGCTGAGTCAACCCTGAGCCAGTCAGGATCGAACTGCTGGCCGTTGGCAGAATTAGCCTGCAATAATGCATTCTAACCACTGCGCCACCACCGAAGGGAGGGAGGGAGGGAGGGAAGGGCAATAGCGCTTAGACTTACATGCCACTTCACAGTGCTTTACAGCCCTCCCTAAGTGGTTGACACAGTCAGCCTGTTGCCCCCAACAATCGGAAGGATGGAAGGCTGAGTTCAACCTTGAGCCATTCAGAATCGAACTCCTGGCAGTAGGAGCAGAGATTTAGCCTGCAATACCGCATTCTAACCACAGCATCTGAATTAAGACTGAATTATTGTTGGGTATATGTATACACCAACCAGGTTTGGGTTGAATAAATATGTAAACCTAGTTTAAGTGTTATGTAGCTTTAAGCACATGAAACTGCAATGTCATTGTGGGTGCGGTTCCAGGCAGCCATAAAGGTAGGAAGGGAAACGTAATAGACCCTGCTTCTGGATGCAACTGTCTGAGTCACTGGCTTCTGGATGCACCTGGTTCTGTTCCTGGTCTGTTGCCTGCTGGAACGTCTGTCTGCTTACTTTTGGAGGCTACTGTGCCAGATACCATTTCAACTGAACACAAGGACTGTTTATTGGTGAGCTGTGGATTCAGCATTGTCTTTGTGAGAAAGGTATCAGAAGAAGAAGATTTACAAGCAGATAAAGACTAGGTAACTGGATAGATATACTGGATACTGACATATGGACTGAATGACTCTTCTTAATCTCTGTGTGAATTAAATATCTATTTAAAAACCACAAACAGTGTTTTTGTCTCAAGTGTGTGTATACTCTTGGGCCCAGCCTCTCTCTCATTTGGCTGCCTGGCTTGACTGCTGCTGTGCACTCAGCTCGGGGGTTTATCCCCAAACACTAACAATTATGACGGTGTTCCTCGGGAACAAGGTTACCTTCCGGAGTTCACCCGGGCAGTCAGCTCCTTTTCCTCCTTGAGCAACCCCTCACGGACCGTGTCACATTCCAGCACGCTCTGCAGGGCCGGTGTCTCGTCCCCGGCCACTTCTTGCTCCACGTGAAGGATGCTGATGTGCAAGGGGATGCGCAGATTGCGGCTGGCGATCATCTTCAACAACGTGGTCTTGCCCAACCCGTTCCGACCTACCAAGCCGTATCGCCGGCCGTAAGCCAGGTTCAGGTCTGCTCCCGTGAGGAGGACCCTGAAAAGAGGAGGGTGAGGACAATGTCAAGCTCTGGCCTGGACAAGTGCGCCCTGTGCTTTTATAAAACAAAGGGGATGTTGTTTAGATACTTCATTTGTGCCAGGTGAGGTGACAACTGCACTGTACCTGATGGGTAGATGTGTCATGCCCCTGTCGGAGTCTGAATTTGAGGACGAAGACAAACAACTGACAGGGAGTGGGAGTGTGGCTGTGGAAAAAACTGGGGAAGGGCAAATTCCGGCTGGGCAGAGTAGGGAAGAGATAGAACAAGGGAGAGGGAGTTCAGAGGAAGATCCAGGCCCACCCCCTCTTCATCCTAGGGCACGCAGGGAGGAACCGAGAAGGGAGCAACATGGGTTGCGTGGCTTACAGGGGAGGAAAGGCCCTGATTCCCTTCATTAGGCACAGCAAGGAAGGGAGTTTAAAAGAGATGCATGCCGAGTGCGGCAGCTGCTGAGGGGAAATGTGGGTTTAACTTGTGTTGACTTTGGTTATCTGTGTTCCCGGCATCTTCCCAACCTTGTTGAGTTACTGCCATGCCTTCATGTCTGGAATTCTTTTTCCTGCCCTGCCAGACTAATTACCCCATTTTTCCTTGAATTGGACTTACAGTTTTTATTGACCACGTTTTGGACTTGATTCTCTGCAGCCAAAGGCTGTTCTTGGGAGAGTTTTTCTCCATCCAGAAGGTAACCAAGACATTGGAGACAAAGTTGGAGCTAATAAAGGGACTCCTACTGATTATCTAACTGTGTTGCCTTTGTGCCACGCCCCAGGATCATCACAAGACACAAGAATTGCAGGAACATAGAGCCACTTGTCTAGAAAGCCATATAATGTCAGCTCTTCCAGGTAAACCAGATAAGAAACTGGATGAGCTAATTCTACTTTATTGTTGGGCTACCTTAAAAGAATCTTGCAAAGTCTCCCCTGCTACAGGTAGTCCTTACAATCACAATTAAGCTCCACATTTCTGTTGATGAGCGAGGCAGTTCTCCAGTTAGTTTTGTCCCGTTTTTAGGACCTCTCTTGTCACAGCTGTTAAGTTAATCACTGTATCAGCCTGGGAAGCCATTTTACTTTTAGAGCTTCTTGGCTGCCACACTTAAGTGCCTGGGAATTTGGGAGGTTTTTTTTTTTTTTTTTTGAGGAGCAGTGGATGATTAGCCACAATGACATTCTTTCTAGGAGAGTCAAGGACATGTCACCTTGCACCTGGAGGGGAGTGACTGGGGATAAGCCTCCAGATGGGATAGGTCATGTGATGGACTGGTGAAAGGCAGGGGATAGATCTTTAATTTTCTTTTGGGGGAAGGGAAAACCCAGAACTCTCAGATTCGGGTTTGCCCAGATATGCCAATATGACATCAATTTATATAAAAGTGAAATACCCCTCATGCATCGTCACAAAATCTCCAGAACTGTAAAGCCTATAAACTTGGACATTGGCATGTTTGTTCCACTTGGCTTCTAGTTGCTCACAAACAAAGGATTTTTCGAAATGACCATCAGACCTATTAGTATTTCCTATATTATTATTAACACGCTCTGATGCTAAGGAGTTCTACTCCCCCTCCCCACCTGAAAAGAAATCTCTCTCAAATGCAAAACACAAGCAGAGGAAAGGAGTTTTAGTACAGAACAGTTGAGCTGAGCCATGCCCAGGGTCCTTGCTGTCTCCTTGCTCACACAGCAAATACTGTTTCACTTTCCAAACAGCCCTCAACTCTCACACACTGACAGGACACTAGCCAGATGAATACCGATAGATGCTGGTAGGCAGAGGCAGAACTTTTCCCCCTTATTTTCCTCCCCCCAAAACTAAGCTCGACCACATACTTTCGTAGCGAAGCACGGGAATTGAGCTAGTCTCTAATAAAATGGACTTTGAGAAGAGGATTGTCTTGGAGTTTGTTACTTGGAATGCTGACACCCTGCAGTCGTTAAATTAGCTTGTTCAGTGAATCTGGACTCCCCCACGGACATTGCTTTTCAGAAGGTCACCAAAGGAGATTTCAACACTCCGGGATGCTTCAACTGTCGTAAATATGAGTCACGGTACCATGGGGATGCTGCAATGGCCGTAAGTAAGGAAAATGGTCATAAATCACCTTGTTCAGTGTCGCTGTAGCTTCCAACTAAATGAATTTTAACCTGATCCGTTAAGGTGGGTCCTTCCTAAATGTCATTCTCTGACCGTGAAGCCACTGGCGGCTCCTTCTTGTTCATTCATTTCCTAGCCAACATCTCTTCCGCTCATCCCCTCAGGCCATCCACACATTCCGTTACATCCCAGCATGTAAACGGGGCATCACAACTTTAAATACATACGTGTTTTTTTTTTTCCAAGTCCAGCTTTAATCCTATTCTATGCTCAGCTCCATTTCAACAGAAATATTAACATCTTTCCCTCTACAATGTTGGGGCTGGATACCACGCTAGGGGTAACCACGGTTTAGCTTGCAGTGCTACGCCAAAGGAGTCCAAATGGCCAAGTCAAAGATGCCGCAAAGATGCCGTGTGACCCTTAATGTGGAGACTCACCGCTCGCCGAAGGACACGTCGAAGTTTTCGATGCGTACGTCGTAGGACTTGTTCTTGCCTGACATTTCGAGACGGTTCTCTTTCTTACTGGCTGCTTGGCTGGCAGACGCTTCTTCAAGAACCCTGCCGTCCAGAACAAGAATACAAACAACCATTAAGACCAGGGAAGAGTACATACAATTCCCGTTTGTTGGAAGGGTCAGTTTCCCACATGCAACAATGAGGCTGTTCCCCTTCTGTCTTCACATTTGCATGAAATTCCTGGCAAAGGTCATCTCTTGGCTTGGGGTCAGTTATCATCAGGATGCTAGGTGTAATGACCCAGAGTATATCAGAAATATAACCAAACCCAAAAGATAATTAAAAATCCTTTGATGCCTTCAACTTGGCTTCACTGTTTAATGGTTCACAGTGGAGGAGTAAACTATTTTCAAAATAACATTTCAAAGGAAAGAAACACGGTTCAAATTCAAAGAGCCGGTAACGAAGCAAAAACCAAAAACAAACCACATTGAATAAAGTTCCTCGACAGACCAGGATAGATAATTGCCAACTTCAGGAAGATAACCAGGGACAGTCCATTGGAGGAACGCCAACCAAGATAAACCTTCTTTAGGAATAAAACACTAATTTATCTCCAGTGTCTGTTAGCATGCAGGTCCAAATGCTTATGCAGATCTCACACCTGCATCCCATGAAGAGGATCATGGCTCTCTCCTCCTGAGTAGACCACGTTTTACCCTGATCCTCTCCTCCCTACGTGCCCTAGGATGGATAGGGGATGGGCCTGGGTCCTCCTCTGACTGCTCAGAGTTAGTCTCCACCAAGAGCATGACACTAGGTAATGGTAAAGGTTTCCCTTGTCAAGTCCAACTCTATGGGGGTGTGTGTGTGTGTGATGGTGTTCATGTCCATTTCTTATCCAACGGAGCCAGCATTGTCCAAAGACACTTCCATGGTCATGTGGCCAACATGTCTATACACCGAGGCTGTTATCTTTCCACCAAAGTGGTACCTATTTATCTACTTGCACTTGCATGCTTTTTGAACTGCTAGATGGGCAGGAACTGAGGCAAGGAACGAGAGCTCACCCCGTTGTGCGGCGCTTGGGTCTCGAACCCCAGGCTGCCAGCTTTCTAGCTGAAAAACTCAGTGTCTTTAGCCGCTGAGCCATTATGTCATCACCAGTATGCTGGTGATACCTAATTATATACACCTGGATCACTCAAGGGACACCACCATCGTTTTGTTCCAGCATCTGAACGTTATGACAGCTTAATCCTGAAGACTGAATGGCATTGGGGTAGCTGGACCCCCTCCCATCTAGGAATGTTCCATCTTTAGCATTAGATGGGACACCATGGCCCCACTCAAGACAGGTGTGTAATTTGATGGTTTTCTTGGAGGTGCAGCTCCTGCCTGAAGAGCAGGTGGCAGCTGTAGCTGAGAAGACCTTCATTGATAGGCATGCCTTGGGATGCTAACCTGACTCTATTGTTCTGCAAACTGCCCAGGTTGTCAGTTAGTGCCCAGGTGCAATTCACCATCTACAATTACCACCTACAAAGCTATTTCTGGCTTACTGACTAGTTTATTTGAGGGATCACTGATCTGCCTATCCTGATGATTAAGCAGTGTGGGTGCTGGGGATTCCTTGGTGCTCTCTGAGCTCGACTGTTTGCTTGCAGGCATTTCAATCCCCAACTAGCATAGAATAGAATAACAGAGTTGGAAGGGACCTTGGAGGTCTTCTAGTCCAACCCCGTGCTTAGGCAGGAAACCCTACACCATTTCAGACAAATGGTTGTCCAATCTCTTCTTAAAAACTTCCAGCGTTGGAGCATTCACAACTTCTAGAAGCAAGTTGCTCCACTGATTAATTGTTTTCAACTATCAGGAAATTTCTCCTTAGTTCTAGGTTGCTTCTCTCCTTGATTAGTTTCCACCCGTGGCTTCTTGTTCTACGCTCAGGTGTTTTGGAGAAAAAAATAGTTTGATTCCCTCCTCTCTGTGGCAGCCTCTCAAATATTGGAGCACTGCTATCATGTCACCCCCGATCCTTCTTTTCATTAAACTAGACATACCCAAGTCCAGCAACCGTTCATAGTAGGTTTTAGCTTCCAGCCCCCTAAATATCTTTGTTGCTCTTCTCGACGCGCTTTCTAGAGTTGCAGCATCTTTTTTTTACATCGTAACTAGTAACATCATTAGTGCTAGTAACTTGCCCTGCCAATGTCGGGGCGGCATAGTAGTATGGTATTTTTACTTGGTAGTGCCTTTAGGGAATTGCTTTCTTTTTAGACCATTTGTCTAATGTTAATCCCTGCTTATCAGGGTGTGTGTGTGTGTGTGTCTGTTGGTAATAACCAATCTCAGAAAGCACCAAGGACTCCATGCTTCAACCCTGAGCTACAGAAATTCTCTCCTATTGGAGAACACATGTTCTCTGCTCCTTTCAATTTAAAAAAAACGTCACCTACAGGGACCTTAAAAGTGCACCTTCTGCGTCATGGTGCCTGCCCACTGGAACAATGCCCTTACCTGGAGATTAATATGGTTTATGCTCTGAGGAAATCTATTCTTCTTTATGTCAGCCACACCCTGATCTCCTCTACTTCCTTCCCCATAAGCAGTGGAAAGACCGACGCCTTAAGAAATTGACTCTGGTAAAAGCAGCCCCTGGCAGATCCTCTCACGGTTGCCCCACTCAAAGACGATCCCCCCACCCCCGTGACTCACAATGGACTCCCAGATTTGACGGAATCTCGCTCCTGCTTCTTGCATTGCTTCGCTTTCAGGCGGGCCTCTGCCTTCTCCAGCTTTCTAGCGTTCACCATCTGCAACGCAAGAGATAGACAGCAGAGAATCAATAGAGAGACCCACCAGCCTCCAGAGAGGAGACCGGAGAGGAAGTTAAAAAGAAGAGGATAAGAGGTATGTTGGACATACTGCTGATCTGGAAGAACGGGAAAAGATCTGGAAGGTGAATTCTAAAATAACAAAATCGGCGGCGTCCAAGGAAAACCGACATAAAATGTTCTGTCGTTGGCATTTGGCATGCTCAAGACTGGCCAAAGATCTACCCAAATTTAAAACCAAATTGTTGGA